GAGCGGCCATTGCACTCCAGTCTGGGCGACTGAGTGAGACTCCAACTCAAAAAAAAAAATTTTTTTTGAAAACAATGTACACTTCCACCAGCAATACACAGGAGGGTTAAGTTGACATCTTTTTTGTTGTTGGGCATAATTTTTGACATTGTTGCTTGATTTGTTAAGTGAAAAAGAAAAAGAGTAGCCTACACTTGGATGAGGTTTGGAGAGAGGACTGGTAATCTAATTACTAGAATACAAGGGCCTGGCAGAACCCCGAGAGAACCAGGAACTAGAGGAATCAGAAGAGGGCCAGGTCCCAGGAGATGGGGTGTGAGAAGTTGTCTGTGGAGCACCTCCTCTGTGTCAGTGAGATAATCCAGTTGGAGAAACCAAGGCCCAGAGAATCCAAGGAACTTGCCCATGTCAAACTCCAGGACAGTATGAACCCTCACCACAAACCTAACTCTGCCTAACTCCAAGCACTATTATTTTCCAACTCAGAACAGAAAGAAGTACCTGTTGAGACCCAGTCCCTAAAAAACAGGTGGATAGAATTGAACAGTCAGGCCTTCCTTTCCGGGGCAGGAAAATGCGATCACAAGACTAGCGTAGGAGCGAGGCAGGGTGGGGGTAACTCTGGAGGCAAGGGAACGTAGCTGCTGTTGGCAGGGATCCGGGAGGCAGGGGGCATCATCTTGGTGAACCACGTTCCTGAAAGGAGTGCTGCAGCCCCGTGTCTGCAAACTGAGGCTGTTCGTCTGTGCTCCTCTTGGGCGCTTCCATGCTGGTCTTCCCAGGACCCGTCCATGCTGGAGGCGGCCCCCCAGGCCTGGCTGGGCTCTGCTCTACTCCCTGACCTCCTCAGCTCCCCTGCCTCCGGGAAAACATATAAACCTCCTGCACTTGATTCCAGCCACCCCCACCCACATCACACCATGAGGGTCTGTTAAGGATAGAGATTCCCAGGGCCGTCCTGGAGACCCCAGGGGGTCATTTTGTGGGGCCATCCTCTCCCACTGTTACTCTTTCATGCTCAGTTCATTCATTCATTCAACAAAATGGATTGAGCCCCAGGTGACAGGCATGGTGCTAGGAGTTGGGGACACAAAGGCGAACAGTAGAGCCTTTTTTGCCTGCTGAGAACTTCGGGTCCAACTCAGGAAAGTTCATTTTCTGAATATGCATTTAATGGGAGGGGAAGAGTCCCCTGGGTGCCCCTGACACTCCCCACTGGCTAGGGTTTCACTGGGGATCTTCTGGTTCTATATGGAACACAGTTATTAGTAAGATTACTGATCTCTCTCTTTAATTTGCAAAAGACCTTTCATTTTAAAAGTTAAGAATTTAAAATTTGTTCTCTGGCCTTCACTCTCTGATTTTACATAGATAATTCCTGTATATATGCCATTTCAAATTACATGGATAATTTTAGGAATTATCTGCTTTTTAATTATAATTTTTAGAAAATTGTTGGTTTATACTGAAGAATGGCACTCTTATGTGTGAGAACATTTAGCAGACAAACCAGTTGCTTTCTGTGCTTGTGCTGGGGTCCCCAAGACCACAATAATTTTTAGAGTGTTGCTAGGACGCTCAGGAGGCAACATACATATGATTGTACCTATGGCTAAGATTTATTAACCATGAGCCTCCAGATCAGGCAAAAAGGACACTGCAAAGTCTGGAAGAATCCATGGGGGCAGCTATACATTCAAAATTGATTTAAATAAGCAATTTGATAGCATATTTATCTATTTAAAAAATTGGAAGCCATGTGTGGTGGCTCACGCCTGTATTTCCAACACTTTGGGAGACTGAGGCGAGAGGGTTGTCTGAGCCCATGGTGCGGTAGTGCATGCCAGTAGTTCCAGCTACTTGGAAGGTTGAGGCAGAAGGATCACCTGAGTCCAGCAGGTCAAGACTGTGGTAGCCATGAGCATGCCACTGCACTCCAACCTGGGCAGCAGAGTGAGACTGACTCAAACAAACAAACAAACGAGAAATTGAAAGAAACTTTTTTTTTTTTTTGAGTCAGAGTCTCACTCTGTTACCCAGGCTGGAGTGCAGTGGCATGCTCATGGCTACCACAGTCTTGACCTGCTGGACTCAGGTGATCCTTCTGCCTCAACCTTCCAAGTAGCTGGAACTACAGGCGTGCACCACCATGCCCAGCTAATTTTTCTTGATTTATTGTAGAGACAAGCTGTCACCAAGTTGTCCAGGCTGGTCTCGATCCCCTGGGCTCAGGCAATCCTCTGGCCTCGGCCTTCCAAAGTGCTGGGATTACAGGCAAGTCACTGTGCCCCGGCAGGAAAAAACTTTTAATTTCTTTGAAACTTGCATTTATTCATGGTACAAATTATATCTTTTTGGTAATTTGAATTTGAAAACTTTCAGAAAACCTATTTCTTAACCAGCTCAAGAAAATCCTTTTATCATATAAATAAGCTGGTAAATTCATGATGCATCCCTGAATACCCTTCTTTCAATTTCTTACCATGTTGCGTACAGTGAAAGATTGCAGTTCCTGTCATTAACATAGAAGTCCCAATAATCTGAATCCAGATTCTCTGAGATGATTTCTTTTAATTTCATTACAAAAAATGTATTAGGAAGTCTGTGGATAGAGATAATTTTTTTAAGTGTTTAGATCCCCATGAAGCCCTATTAAACCCAAATTTTCCAAGAGGTTTGAATAAGAATGGGGTTGATGAGCATCACTGTTTGAAATCAAGATTTTATAAGACATGAAGATGGCCGGGCTTGGTGGCTCATCCCAGCATTTTGGGAGGCCGAGGCGAGTAGATTGCCTGAGCCTGCGGGTTCAAGACCAGCCCAGGCAACTTGGCGAGACCTCATCTAGACAATAAATAAAAAATTAGCCAGGCATGGTAACGCACATCTGTAGTTCCAACTACTTGGAAGGCTGAGGCGGTAGGATCGCCAGAGTCCAGCAGGTGGACGCTGGGGTGGCCATGAGTGTGCCGCTGCACTCCAGCCTGAGCAACAGAGTGAGACTCCAACAACAAAAAAAAGACATGAAGCTTGAAAGCTTCAGGACCTACACCTGCTCGTTGTCATCACCAACCAGCTTTACTTAGACTCAGGAGATGAGATGTCGGTGTGCCTGTCCATGCAAGCAAGCTGTGGTAGATGGAACACAAGCCTCACTGTACACGTGTATAAGGACTCTTTGCTTTGAGGCATGAATAAATGTAAGTGAGATACTCCACTAAAAAAAAACCAGTTGATTAATCTGCCCTGTCTATGGCTCTTTTAGAAAAAATCTTTCCATTCTTAAGAATTTAGGATGTATCACTTGCGATTTCAAGAAGAGACTAGGTATGAATATGTAAAACTTCCTTCCTCTACTATTTCAGATATGAGTTTTCTTGTGCATTTGCTTACCATGTGAACCACTCTTGTTTATCAGAGCTGCTGAGGACCTCCTGGCACAAATTCAGAAGAATTATCAGATGCCACAGGAACAGTTGGAAGTGTTAAAAAAAGCAGCAGACCGCCTCCTTTCAAAGCACAACAGCGAGCTGAGGGAGGCCGAAGCGCTCGTGAGGGAAGCCGAGGCAAAGATGCAGGAAAGCAGTCACCTGCTGCTCACAGTCAATGCCAACCTGAGAGAATTCAGGGTGAGTCTGACACTGCTCGCCTTCGCAGTTACCATTGGTAACCAGAGTCTCCAATGTCAACAGTAAACACAGAGCCCCTTGCACTGACTTCTGAACACAGCATTAAGCACCGAAGTTCAGGAGTAGACTTGCTTTTTTTTCTGAGTTGGAGTCTCACTCCATCGCCCAGGCTAGGGTGCAGTGGCACGTTCACGGCCACCCCAGCATTGACCTGCTGAGCTCTGGCGATCCTTCTGCCTCAGCCTTCCTAGTAGCTGGAACTATAGGTGTGCGCTACCACACATGGCTAATTTTTTAAATTTATTTATTGTAGAGACAATGTCTCACCAAGTTGCCCAGGATGGTCTCAAACCCATGGGCTCAGGCAATCCTCTCACCTTGGCCTCCCAAAGTGCTGGGATTACAGGCTTGAGCCACCGTGCCCAGGCTGGACTTGCTTTTAAGAAACATCCTTAAAAGGCGATTTCCGTTGCAGGATACAAATCTGCATGTTCAAGAAGAACAAAGCCTGACCTCAGAGCTAATTGCCAAAGGAAGAGGACTGATAGATGCTGCCACTGCACAAACAAATGCTGCACGAAATGCTCTAGCCGTAAGTTACAACTCAGCACAGCTACTGTACAGTTTCCAGAGAGTCTTCACACACGGCATCTATATGCACATATCAGGTAGTAAATAGATGCATTTGTATTTACAATATTAATTTCTCCACATAGCAATTAGAGCATCATCAGAATGAGCTACTTCTATGGGCTGCCAAAATCAGGCACCACGTAGACGATCTGGTCATGCACATGTCCCAAAGGAGAGCTCTCGATCTGGTCTACAGAGCCGAGGATCACGCTGCTAAGTTCCAAAGACTAGCAGGAATTCTGGACAGGTGAGACCGCACCCTTGTGGGGATTCGAGAGGTCGCAACCCATCGATCAGAGCAAAGAAGGGAGGATCTATTGATGGCAGTGAGGAGTTACTCTTCTTCCTTTGTGTAAAAATAAGCACTCCTGTTTTATTTACGTGGCAAGTCGGATTTCCTCTTGTCTGCTAGCATAATTTACCATTGGCGGAAATGTTTAGGAAAAACGCAGATGGAACTGGACAGGAATTAAAACAAATAGTTTGCTATATTATGAAGTCATCAAGCCTTTTTTTAAGCACTACTGAGGGCTCAGGGCTCTGGGAAATTGTGGTTGCATGTGAGACTTAATGAGGTTGTTACTTGCTTTATAAATCTTGCCTTTGGAGAGTTTATGATTTGGGTGGAGAATGTCACTGCCCACACTCTATCTATAAAAGTGGGCATCTCTTTTCCAAACTCTGAAAGATACCATCCCCAACCATCTTCCATTGCCTGAAAGGCTACCATTGTAATACAAATATCTTAACTTGTATTTTTGGAGTATTGTTAAATATGTACTCAACTTGTAAAAAGTGCTGTAAACAAGAAGCACAACTTTAGGCCAGTGGTTTCAAACTTGTCTGCACATTGGAATAACCTGGGGACCTTCAGAAGGTACTGATTCCTTTATCTCCTTGTCCACCTCCCCCAAAGAGTGTGACTTAATTGGTTTTGGTCTGGGCTGTCCCCGGAGCTTTGTGGTTTTTTTTTTTTAAATCCCCAGGTGATTTTAATGTGTGGCAAATGTGGGAACTGGGGTTTTAGGACTTATCAGTGATTTACACAACACTGTGAGTTAATTGGTAAATTCATTTCTTTAAAACCTACTATAAATGATGAGTGGGAAAAGTCTGAACCCACTGGGACTGTGTGTTTTTGTGTGTAGGTGTGTCCTGTGGATGGAGAAAGAAGTGCCTCCCCATATTTGAAAGGCTGACCTAAAAGATTAGCTCATGCAACAAAAGCAATTAAAAACGATATAAGGTAGAATCTTGCGTAAATGATATGCTAAATTGAGTACCGCTGCCTCCATGCACCATAGGAATCAGTCATGGAAAATAGCAGCAGATACTTGGTGATTGTCTTTTCATTGTCTTTCTTCATTTCCCCAAAGAGAAAAAGGTAATTCTGACTCTGTACATGGTTACAACAAAATCTTTATTATTTAGTATACGAGTAGTAAAAGCAATTTGGTATGATGCACAAACTTAAATAACATTATTCTCTTTTATTTATAAATCACTGAATTTTGCCAATCAAATAGTAACCAGCAATAACTGCTAATATCTGGTCTGGGAATCACCTGATTCAATAACCTTGGAAAGAAAATGAAGTGAATTACTCAGCAGGCTAAGATGTGTCAATTGCTAGATTTCATTTTCAAGATAGAAGGAGCTGGATGAGATTGTGCCGTTACCAGCTACCAAGTTCCTAAGTGATTTGTCCACTTGTTAGAATGAATGGAGTTCAGCTGATTGAAATATTATCTGATCCTCCCCCAAAATCTCTAGTGAATTTCATAAAGTTGATGTATGAAATCTGAGGAATAAGATTCAGTATCCTTATGTGTGCTTAGGGAAGCATTTTGGAAATGAATAGGTTGTGTTGCACGGTGACTATAACTAACGCACACATGCAGTGTAGCACCGGCCAGACACAGAGGGTTGGAACAGAGATCAGATTATGTTGAGGCTGATGGGAAATGATGAATGTGGTCTAAAGAAAAAACAGCAATAATCTCTTCTTTGGTTCTGATCAAATAGCAACTCCGAGTGTTACTGTGACAATGTGGCTACTGCTTCTCAAAAATTGCTTTTGAAGTTAGAGGGAACCTATCTATAGGTTGCATTCCTTGCTACTGATATTTTTCTGAGAGGAAAGAAACTAGGAGACTTTCAAGTATAGTAGGCACTTGTAATTTTCATGAGTGAATCTATTTGATTTAGTTAATCACATTTCCACCTATGCTGATTTGATAGTGGCCTTAAAGGTGTCAGGCATGTGTCCCTGAATGCAACCAGCGCGGCCCATGTCCATGCCAACATTCGGAGCCTGATTGAAGAATCAGAGAAACTGGCAAAAGACACTCACAGGACTCTAACTGAGATGAGCCTGGTAAGAAATACCTGTGGGCTTCTTTTTCTGGGCACGACAGGAAATTGTTTGAGCAACGCCTCAATGGCTCAAATTTATGCTTATTGGCGTTCTCTTCTGGTAGAATCTATTTATCTTTATGTCATGTGATAGGTGTTTTAATTTCTTAAGGTCATAAATACTTCTTGACACAGACTAGGAACTAGTGTTGTAGAGATGAGGAAAATCTTACATTTTCTTACAATAAAAATGATAATACTTCCGGATGGCTACTTGAACCTGTTTTCTTTTTTCTTTTTTTTGAATTGGAGTCTCACTCTGTCCCCTAGGCTGGAGTGCAGTGGCACACTCATGGCCACCGCAGCTTTGACCTGCTGGGCTTAGGTGATCCTTCTGCCTCTGCCTTCTGAGAAGCTGGGACTACAGGCACATGCCACCACGCCCACCTTATTTTTTGATTTATTGTAGAGATGAGGTCTCGCCAAGTTGCCCAGGCTGGTCTCGAACCCCTGGTCTCCGGCAACCCTCTTGCCTCCTCCTCCCAAACTGCTGGGATTACAGGAGTGGGCCACTGTGCCCGGCTGAAGCATTTTTCTTTACCTATGGCAAAAATCTTATTTAATAGTTGGTTTCCTTCTTACATACTTAAAAATGTCTTTGTGTTCTTTCACCTTAAATTTCTGCATACCTGGTACCTGGTACTTAGTTGACTTTCTTCCTGGGCACTTGGCTGGGGGCTACTCGGATGGAGTTGCTTCCTCCATCCCTGGCAGGACTCCCCTCTGCCCTCTAGTCACCATGTTTAAGTCGTTCTGTTTTCCAGTTCCCAGAATCCTTTGTTTCTAATGGGAAGGTGGCTCTGCAGCGCAGTTCCAATGTTCTAAAAGAAGCCAAAGACCTCAGAGGAAAGCATCAAGGTCAGTTTGGATCAAGGACTGTGTGGATGGGAGAGTGAATGTGAGCCCCTTCCTGAGTGTCCTCTAAGAATATTCTCCTTTCCTGGAGCAACGTGAAGCACAGCATTTCTTGTCACATTAGTATTCCAGTTTCCTACCATGCAAACATCTTATAATTTAAAATTTGATTTTATTATACAGTCCTCTCTGTTCTCTGTCCTTCCTTTATTATACAGTCCTCTCTGTCTTTAAGTCTTCCTTGATGATCAAGTCCTCTGCTCATTGCCATAGCTTGGAGCTTTCACTGTTCTTTATAGCTTCTGTTGGGTTATCTCTCTGATTGCATGTGTTCCTTTATTTGTCTCACTATTTCACAGTTTCTCGAAGAGATGTATTATGTTTTATATGTCTTCTACCTTTCTCATAGGACTAATGTCATGTTGGATTCGTGGTAGGTTTTCATATAATAATTATTTCATTAAATAATAACAGATTTATGAATTTTTCAAAAAAATACCTGGGTAGTTTAGTTTGTTTTAAGAGTTGCATTTCTTTCTTCTCTTCTCTTTTCTTTTCATCAGAGTCTCACTCTGTCACGCAGGCTGGAGTGTTGTGGCACAGTCATGGCTACTGCAGCCTCAACCTACTGGACTCAGGCAATCTTTCTGCCTCAGCCTTCCAAAGAACTGGGACTACAGACACATACCATTATGCCTGTCTAATTTTTTGATTTATTGTAGAGATGAGGTCTCACCAAGTTGCCCTGGCTGGTCTTGAATCCCTGGACTCAGGCAGTCCTCCTGCCTCAGCCTCCCAAAATGCTAGGATTATAGGCATGGGCCACCACACCCAACTTTGTCCTAAGAGTTTCGAGAAGCAATTATTTGGTATATGTAAAGGCTATCCAATGACCATAACACAAAATGGCCACAGAATCTGTTATGTAAGATAAACTAGTAGGCATACAATTTTTTGTAACAAATAGCATGCTTTCTACCTTAATGTATTCTTAGATACCAAAAATATCAAGACTTCTTCTATAGGAGTAATTACTGGACCATACACAGAGCTCATTCCCTTTACAGACTACTTCCAAGTCCAGCACCATAGCCCTCCACAGCTGTCTGAACCAAGAGCTTGGATATGTGCATACTTTTTGTTTGTTTGTTTCTCTGTGAGTGACACAATTTAGAATTTATGTTGTCATTTCACAGTGCAGAAAATGCATAATGCTCCATCATAAAGCATTAAGCACAAACTCTGCATCAATGTTGATGGGTGGTAGTTTCAGTTCACAGAACTTTAAGTACTTCATAGACTTTGAAATTGTGAACTTTCTGGCAATTAACATTTCGTGTTTTAAACATGAGTTCAAAATCCAAATGTGATTGTGTGTCATGAACAGAAATTTTAAAGGCAAAAGCTTGGATCCAACTTAAGAATGAGGTTAAGCTGAGTCCCAACTGGGTGACCAGAAGGGAATAGAAAGATGCATAGGATTGGCAGGGATACAGGTGAGAGACTGAGAAACACTCTTATCAAAGGAGGCCGCCTTTTGTTTACAACCCAGAGAAGAAAGGTGGTCAAGATCCAGACATGGATTAGAATTCAGTGCATCTGATTAAGACCACGTGATTTAAACACAGTTCTTCATCATTGAGCTCTAATAACATTAACCAGGAAATTTAAGGAGAAATATTAGTGAGAAAGTGAACAAGCAAAGTAGAAAAAAAAAACAACAATCAAGTCAACTAAAAATATACTCTTAATTTCTATATTGAATGGTACTTAGTCTTGCTGGAAAAAATTTTACTTTTTTTTTCTTGAGTCGAAGTTTCACTCTGTCACCCAGGCTGGAGGGCAGTGGCATGCTCACAGCCTCTGCAGCCTCGACCTGCTGGGTTCAGGCAATCCTTCTGCCTCAGGTTTCCAAGTAGCTGGGACTACAGGCACATGCTACCATGCCCAGCTAATTTTTTGTAGAGACCATGTCTCACCAAGTCACCTGGGCTAGTTTTGAACCCCTGGACTCAGGCAGTCCCAAAGTGCTGGTATTGACCTTGGCCTCCCAAAGTGCTAGGATTACAGGTGTGAGCCACCGTGCCCGGCCTAACTTTCAATATTGAAAGTCTCTTTATTACTGATTCCGTAGATGGGTCAGAAGTGGTGGCTAACCTAAACTGAAACCTTTCCCCCGCTTTCAATAGGTATTACACTGGAACTAAGTGAACTGAGAAATATGGCAAATAGATTTCAAGAAAATGCTGATAAAATTACCAGGCAGACCAGTGAAACGCTCTTGATACTTAAAGCAATTCCTGAAGGTAAGTAGAAAGACATTTCTTGATCCAAGAGCCCTAGCTCAAAAATGAGACTGTAATTGATAAAGTTTTTGCTTGCAAAGAATATGATTGGGAAATGAAGATTTCTGTTTTTTCACATTTGCATTGAAATACTACAATTATATTCTTAAAAACAGAAACTTTATACAACCGTCTTAATTGCTTATTTAGGAAATAGGCTTGATATATCACTCAGATGAAAGACGCGTCATTCAATGAGATCAGCAGGTAAAGAAGTGAGAATGCTCTTTACCTGCCTTAAGGGAAAATGCCAGATTCATTATTAATGTGGCAAGTTAGAGAATTCTTGCTCAGTCATTCTCCTTCATGAAGAAATAAAACATTCTAAAATAGGTCCACTGGTCACCTTAATACTGATGGTTTGGAAATGCGGTATTCACTAAAATTATAAATAGGATAATTTTTTTTAAAGTTGTAATACAAATGAATTGTACTGTGGTGAATTATTTACATCACCTCAAACTTCTCTATTCTTTGTTTATTTTTTTATTTATTTTGAGGTGGCATCTCACTCTATTGCCCAGGCTGGAGTGCAATGACACACTCACAGTCACCCCAGCGTTGACCTGCTGGGCTCCGGCAATCCTTCCACCTCGACCTTCCAAGATGTTGAAACTACAGACACGTGCTACCACATCTGGCTAATTTTTAAAAATTTATTGTAGAGAAGAGGTCTCACCAAGTTGCCTGGGTTGGTCTTGAACCCACGGGCTCAGGCAATCCACTAGCCTCGGCCTCCCAAAGTGCGGAGATTACAGGCTGAGCCACCAAGCCCGGCCTTCTCTATTCTTAATAAGAATTTTAAAAAAGTTTTGAAAAAGTTTTACTACGTGGTCAAGCTTGTCTCCATAGTCATTCTGTCTGCAATTTTCATTGTGCAGGGGAAACTGGGCATGAGTACATCGGGCTTACTTCTTACCTTGACTCAATGGAGATTTTCTGATCTGGTAGTTTTTTTAAAGAACAATATGGCATATTTTGATTAAATGGTTAATAACTTTTTATTTGGAATTAATTTCAAACTTACAGAAAAGTTGTAAGAAGAGAAAAAAATCCATCTCTGTACCCTTTATCCACCTTCTTCTACTGTTAGTGGTTTGCCGAATTTGTGTTTAAACTTTAAAAACAAATAATAGTGCCTTTAAAAAAATTCCTCACCCAAATTTTCTGTAGTAACTGAATTCTAGTTGACCTCAAGTGCCTGTGCAGTCTTTGTTCTGCTGTTATTTCTAGCCGTCAACTGATTCTATGGGCAAATACAGTAAGTTCCCTACATATGAACGAGTTTCATTCCAAGAGGGTGTTCCTAAGTCCAGTTTGTTCATAAGCCCAACAAAGTTAACCTAGGTACCCAGCTAACAAGATTGGCTATACCGTACCAGCTATATCAGCGTTGCTTTTACATCTGTTTCCAGACATCCTGGGCTTGAAATAAGGATACTGTACTCCTGTGGTCTCTACAATGCTGTACAGTAAAGTACACAAAAATACAACCACTTATAAAGGTTGCACACATGTGATAATGTATGCCAGACACATGAACTAACTTACGTGATTGGACATGCAAACACATGTTCACATCTTTGAGAGCTTGCCACTTGAAGATTCACTTGTAGGGGATTTACTGTACCTTTTCCCCCAGCTTAGGACATCTCCACCTCAACTGCGTACTTGACTTTGAAAACCTTCTAATCCAGACATGAAATGATGTGGAGAACATGTTTAATGATGATGAAAAAGGGTGATAGAAAAGGACCCAAATAGGAAAATTTCACTTATTAACATCTAAGATGCCAATCACGTAGTGATTAACTGTTGCTTTTGTGATCTCACTGTGTATTGAAATCATATCCCAGATAATTATTACCAAAAAAATATTTTATTTTCATATTTATTACTCCTAAAAACAGGTAGTAGAGCATATGAGATGCAGGTAATTTTGCCATTAAAAACAAGAAGCCCTGTAAGCCACTGACCAGTGCCCAAAAGAAAAACACACACACACAAAAACAGGAAATTTCAGTTTGTGTTCAACACTCTGTAAAATGACCATAATGGGCTTCTGTGTAAGATTGCATTAGTTGTAGTTTTGTTCTTCTCTCTGTGTATAAGTGCCCGAGTACATGTCTGTATATTCATTTATTTCAGGTGTGAGAGACAAAGGAAGCAAAACCAAAGAGCTGGCCACATCTGCAAATCAGAGTGCGGTGAATACACTGAAGGATGTCATGGGACTAAGCCAGAAGCTACTGAACACCTCCACTAGCCTGTCCAGAGTCAATGCCACCTTACGAGAGACTAACCGGCTTCTGCACGCCTCCACCATGACCAGTATGTCAGTGCCCTTCCTTCCAGTCATGAAAGTCAGAATCCTGCATACTCCTAAAGAGTAAAAATGTGCCGACATCTGGATTTGCATGTCTAAAGAAAGAGAGGGCCTTGGACAATGTGTGCTATGGCACCTTTTTCATATAGTTACCCAGATTACACCCATTTGGTTCTTAGAATATCCTGTTTTGTTCAGTGTATTAGTGGACAACTGATTATCTCATTTTTCCCCCACCCCACCCCAACTTTCTTGCCACCCCTTGCCTCCTTGTGTTTGTCAGCTCTGTTAGCTGGAAGAAAAGTTAAAGACGTGGAAACACAAGCCAACCTTTTATTTGATCGGTTGAAGCCTTTGAAGCTGTTGGAAGAGAACTTGAGCAGAAACCTGTCAGAAATCAAACTGCTGATCAACCAGGCCCGGAAACAAGCAGCTTCTGTGAGTTTGGAGCCCCGTGGCTCTCAGTACTACCCAACACTCCCATGGCCCAGACTCTTGGTCACGGAGTCCCAGAAAATTCCTGTAAACATGGCATTCGGTCACACCAGGTGCTCTAGGACTTCCACAGACCCAGATCCCAATAATCCCAGGTTCGTGATAACTGGGGCTTGGGATATTTAAAGCCAATAGTTAGCCTCATTTTCTTTGCATTCTGCTTTTATTCAACATTTTTTAAAAAGTTGTAAGCAGAGCTCTCTGAGTCTTTAGGGAAGATTTATCATTATAGCCTAGAAGGGTAGCTATAGCCTAGACAGTGCAGAATGTATTGTCTTAGTGATAACATCTCTCTAAGTTATATTGGCTGCATATGGTGTTACTTCTTCATTTTACCAACTTAGCTTTAATGATCCAAGTGCTCTTCAGAATGCATGTGCAGTGTGGGCCTCAACCTCGAGAAGCTGAAAAAACAATTTGTATAGGCACAAACGCTGCACAAATCCATGTCACTAAATGTGTCCACCACTGTACACTGAGAAGTTCAAACTTGGGAAAATATTTTATAACCGTTCATGGTACATGGCACTGGCTGTGCTTTGAAAGAGAGGAGTTTCGGGGAAATAATTAGAGTTTCAAGAGAATGTGCAATTGACATGCAACTGGGGACTTAGGATGAATGTGACCTCTGGACTTATATTTATCCACCTGGAGCTTTCTAGGCAAGAAAAAGGAGTTCTGGGCTCTCTGTTTTTTCCCCAAGTGTCCTCACAATTGGAAAAGGAATGTTGACTCCATGTGTTTTAGTTACAGTCACTAAATAAATGTATGTGCAAGTCCAAATGCTATGGTTAACAACACTTAGACTCTTTAAGGCTAATGGAAGATATATATGCAAATAATTACTAATCAAAGATATATGTGGTAAGTGCAATAATTGCTCTATAAATATTTGCTGAATGAATAAATGTATTACCCCTGCCTTTATTCACCAAATGAACATCAAAAATTCTCTTTGGTCAGGTGGAAAGATTCCAAGGTGATAAGGTCCTTGTCTTTAAGGAATTAAATCTCACATAAGTGAGACAGTTTCCTATATAAATTACCCTTTTAAAACTACAACTGATTTTCCCATATTTAAACACTTTACCAAATACATCATTTTTATCACCATCTGATCTCTCACTTGATGAAACAGGAAGCTTTATATATTATCAAGAGAGGAGACCTGCCTTACAGTGAAAATTCATTACAGGAGAGCACTATTAAACTGCTGGTGAGCTGTCAGTGTGTGTCACTAAATGACTGGGACACATTCTTTTTCTTTCTATAGATTAAAGTCGCTGTGTCTGCAGACAGAGATTGTATCCGGGCCTACCAGCCTCAGATTTCTTCTACGAACTATAACACCTTAACGCTAAATGTTAAGACACGGGAACCCGATAATCTTCTCTTCTACCTTGGGAGCAGCACCAATGTAAGTTATGGACTTTTGGAAAGCAGTAATGAGTCTTTTATGAAATTGTAGATTTTCTGAAATGTTGGGAAAAAAAAGTAGAGCCTTAGTGAAATCATTGATTCTTCTACAAGGTAGCATTAGATTAAAATGGTAGCATTAGATTAAAAATAAGGTACAAATTTGAAAGCCTATGAGAAGGAAAGTGACATTTCTCAAGAATGCTTCCCTCTGCCATCTTAATCGCAAGCCATGGTTACAGAGCTTTATGTAATACCCCTGTTACCTCAGAGATGATTGAGTATTATTACAGTTGGCAAGCTTTACCCAGGCTCTTATTGCCAGCAAGATTCCAGTGGAGAGCTGGGTGTAGTGGCACATGCCCGTAATCCCAATAGTCTGGGAGGGTGAGGCAGGAGTTCCAGGCTGCCGTGAGCTATGATCGTGCCACTGCACTCCAGCCTGGGCAACAGAGATTCTGTCTCTTTAAAAATAAAGGTTTCAGTGATTCCCAGAGGGTGAGTTTTTATGGAATAGCATTGCTACTGTGGTTGTGCCTGTGGGAATGGGTCAGAGATCTTGGACGTAGAGGGTAGAAAATGTTAACAAGGCCGGGCTCCGTGGCTCAGCCTGTAATCCCGCGCCTTTGGGAGGCTGAGGTGAGCGGATTGCCTGAGCCTGCGGGTTCAAGACCCGCCTGGGCAGCAAGACCTCCTCTCTACAATAAATCAAAAAATCAGCCGGGCGTGGTAGCGCATGCCTGTAATTCCGGCTACTTGGAAGACTGAGGCGGAAGGATCGCCGGAGCCCAGCAGGTCGAGGCTGCAGTGGCCGGGAGCGGCCACTGCACTCCAGTCTGGGCAACAGAGTGAGACTCCAACTCAAAAAAAAAAAAAAAGAAAATGTTAACAAGCACGTATAGTATCTGAAATGCCTTCTTGGGAAATAAGATGCAGAGCTTGTGCAAGTCTATGATGTGGGATTTCATGACTTCTGTCTTACTGCATATTTCACATCAATTTCTTGCCTTCTGAGACTGAGCAAATAAGCACCATGCCTTCCCTCATGCTCCCCATGGACTGCCTGTGACCTCCAGTGAGTTTTCCTGCGGAGTTTTAAGAAGGCCATTGAGGAGGACCATGCAAGACGCCTGTGGGTGGCGCTGATGTCCTCAGGGCTCTGAGCCATACTCCAGCTCCAGGGAGGGGAGCTAAGACAGATGAAGAGAGTTTGGGGGGATTTGCTTTAAAAAAAAAATAGAGGAAACCCTGTAAAAACTGGTCTTTAAAGTGTTTTGGTGATTGTGCAAACAGCCCAGTGCATAAACTCACCCCCACCCATGCCCCATGCCCCAGGCTGATTTCCTTGCCGTGGAGATGCGGCGAGGGAAGGTGGCCTTCCTCTGGGATCTGGGCTCCGGGTCAACACGCTTGGAGTTTTCAGACTTCCCCATTGACGACAACAAATGGCACAGTATCCGTGTAACCAGGTAATAAAGTTCTTTCAGAGCATCTCTCTTTTTAAAACTATTTTATAAGTAATTGCATGCTTGTAACACCATATAATAGATTTTGAAACTTTTGGAAAGCCAGATTATAATCAAAGAATACTTGGTTTAGATTATCTATAGAAATAAGGACTTGTTGCAAATTACAGAATTTCTTTTTTAGAGACTGAGTAGTAGTATTCCATTGTGTATCTAACCCACATTTATTTATCCATCCACCAGTTGATGGTTGATCATTCTAAATTGTATTTAAAACTCATAACCTCATTTTGCACCTCATAAGTATATACAATTATAATTTGTCAATATGTAATTTAAAAGTTAATTAATTTTAAAATTGTTTAAAGAAATAAGGGTTTGGGTTTATTTTCTTATTACAGAAGAAATAAACTTTGCAAAATCAATAATCAAAGGAAGAAAAAATAAAAAATTTGTTACCTTTAGAATGTCTAAAAGTTTAGATTACCTTTAGAATGTTATCTTTAGAAAGTGTAAGTCTGAGACTAGCCAGGTGCGGTGGCTCACACCTACACTCCCAGCACTCTGGGAGGCCAAGGCTAGAGGATTGCTTGAGCCCAGGAGTTCAAGACCAGCATGGGCAGCATAGTGAGACCTCAACTCTACAAAAAAATACAAAAACTAGTGAGGTGTAGTGGTGCATGCCCATAGTCCTAGCTACTCAAGAGGCTGAGGTAGAAGGATCACCTGAGTTGGGTAGGTTGAGGCTGTGGTGAGCCATGAGCATGTTACTGCACTCCAGTCTGAGTGACAGAGTGAGACTCTGACTCAAAAAAAGAAAAAAAGAGGAAAGTCTAAGTCTGAAGCCATCAACCCAGTAAAATATTTATTCCTCAGTAAAGAGGAGAACATGTAGCCTGGTAGGAACATGTGGCTGTCGGTGGGTCATGCAGGTAGGGAAGGACAGAAGATAAGGATACAAGCAGGAAATGTGTCTTCTTAAAATTCAAACACAGCAAAATTCTTCCTTTTGAAGTTCCTCTCCAGAGGTAACACTTTTAAGCAGCTTTGAGAATATTTTTCTTTAATATGCCGTTTTGTGGCCAATTTTTTCTTTATTATTACAAAGTGGAGTCATATTGAAGGCAGTAGGCTACCTTCAAGTACAGTTTAGCCCATCTAACCTGTTTGAAGCAGAGAGGTAACATGATCAAATTTCTGTTTCAGAAGAACCACTCTGCAAGATTTTGGAGAGTAAACTAGGGATGGGGTGGCCAAGACTGGCAGTGGGGGAACCAGTAGGAGGTGCTGTTGTGGGAGTCCTGGGAAGAATCATGACGGCTGCATATGAGGGGATACTTGTATGTGCACTGACTCGAAATTCTGAGTGCTCCTTTTGCAATTCTTTGTGACCTTTAGATTTGGAAACATTGGTTCATTGAGTGTAAAGGAAATGAGCTCAAATCAAGAGCCACCAACAAAAACAAGTAAATCTCCAGGAGTAACTAATGTTCTGGATATAAACAATTCAACACTAATATTTGTTGGAGGACTAGGAGGACAAATCAAGGTAATGTTCTGAATGTTCATCTGAACAGGACTGATTGCCTGATTTTACCTACATACAAAATTATTATGTCTAGATTGTTGGATAGATCTTAGGCGGATGAAGAGTTTTCTGCCTCTATTGTTTTGCTTCATGACAGCTCATCTGCAGAGCTGGGCTGGTTTTGTAGGGTTAACTACCGTGCTTAATCAATAGCATAAATGGAGAAGGAACCAATGGCTCATTTTGCTATTTGAGTTTCTTTTCCAATGATGAAATAGGAAATTCAATGTTCCATGTTAATTTCTGTAAAGTTTCTTTATCTCTATTCTCACTCTAGTGGTTGACTAATACCAGTTTGTGTTTAGAAAAAGACTCGTCATATTTATTTCATTGTACCAGTTATCCTCTCACCAAACGCAGCTGCATGACTTGAACCTGGTTCAATGCTCTGAAGTGGGAGTTAGGGTCTCAGTTCCAGCTGGGTCAGGGTCTCAGTTCCAGCTGGGTCTTCCTCACTACCGACTACATTCTGAGGATCTCTGTTCTCTCACCTGTTAAAAACGTTTTTCTCCAGCAACCCCAGTCATTGAAATGATGTTTAGAACTTGTTCAGTTGTCACTTATTCTAGGATTTCACTTTATAACTGAAAAGAATCCAGTGGTTACAAAACTGGCCATCTTTCTGAATGTTGTACTCTCAAAATTTACATCTATGGATTTGAACTCCTAGGAGAAACTCTCTGTCTTGTGCACTTAGAGAATGTATTCGGCCTTACCAACTGTATGTGGGTTGTGTTTGCTTGTTTATATTAGAAATCTCCTGCTGTGAAAGTTACCCATTTTAAAGGCTGCATGGGAGAGGCCCTCTTGAATGGAAAATCTATTGGCCTGTGGAACTACATTGAAAGAGAAGGCAAGTGCCATGGGTGCTTCAGAAGGTAAGATGTCGCCACAATTTACCACATAGTATGTCATTCTGTTAACATCTGAGAACTGCTGAAAGAATTTACATACACAAGCTGGGCATGGTGGCCCACGCCTGTAATCCCAGAACTTTGAGAGGCAGAGGTGAGAGAATTGCCTGAGCCCAGGGATTCGAGACCAGCCTAGACAACTTGGCAAAACCTTGTCTCTACAATACATTAAAAAATGAACCGGGCATGGTGGCACACACCTATGGTTCCAGCTACTTGGAAGACTAAAGTAGAAGGTTGCCTGAGCCCAGCAGGTAGAGGCTGTGGTGGCCATGAGCATGCCACTATACTCCAGTTTGTGCAACAGAGGGAGACTCCTACTCAAAAAAAAAAAAAAAAAAGAATTTACATACACATCAAGGATGGATTGAGTCTGTGATGTCAGTCATCTTATTGCAAAGGATATAATATAGATTATTTATAGATGGAAGAATGGATATCATTTTTAACCTTTTAAAAGAGGTGCACTTTTTGCTGTGTCTTGTATGCTTTGTATATGTATTGTTGGCTTTGATCATGGATCATAAACCCTAAATCTTCTCAAACAGCTTTCTGTCTCAAAGAGCCACAATTAAATCTCAGGTAAACTGCTGTACACTTTTATTTTGAAAAGGTTGAGAATTGTGTGTACATGTGTGCAGTCACTTTTTATAAATTAGTACTTTCCTATTCCTAACCAATTTTTATAATTCTGGAAATAAAATGCGTTTGGAAATGGAGAACAGCAGACATCATTTTGTGTATGTTGACATAGCAGAAGACAATGACTTAATCTCACTGAACTCAATAACCTATTATTTTATAACAAAATAACCACAACTCCTTAAGTATGTAAGATGCTGCTTTTAGTAATTAAGACAATAAGTTGTCTTTTGCCATTAGAGAATTGTAACATCTGATATAATTGCTTTCATTCGATGGGTTGCGCAGTCCAGATAAACATCTGTAATTAACAGCAAGCAGTGACAAGATCAGTTAAAAGCAATTTTCATTACATTTAGAGACTCATGGGTGAGTTTTCATTTTGTTGTTGTCAGGTCTACTTGCTCCCATGACTCATAGCTTGGGATTCTATAATTTACGCCGTCTACTTGCTACTTTCTCCCTCCCCTAGCTTTTTTAAAAAGTTGTGACCAAGCCAAGTACGGTGGCTCACGCCTATAATCCCAGCACTTAGGGAGGCAGAGGTGAGAGAATAGCCTGAGTCCAGGGATTCAAGACCAGCCTGGGCAACTTGGCAAAACCTCATCTCTACAATATATATATTAAAAAAAATTAGCTGGGCATGGTGGCACTCGCCTGTGGTTCCAGCTACTTGGAAGACTGAGGCTCAAGGATTCCAGTAAGTCAAGGCTGCAATGGTTGTGAGCATGCAACTGCACTCTAGCCTGGGCAATAGAGTGAGACTTCAACTCAAAAAAAAAAATTGTGACCAGAAGCTTGGTTATTGCCGCCTTCGGATTAAAAAGAATACTGAGTTTGGAGTCTAAGTTTCTCAGTCTCCTAGCTCAGGCTCTTGACCAAATTTTCTAGTGACTTTGGGTGATAAGTCTTCACCTCTGAGGTTTGGTTTCTTTTTCCAGTAAAGGAAAACAATAATCATACTTGTCTTACCCACTTCCCAAAATTATCGTGATGGACACGTAATGCCATGTATGTGAAAATACTTTCTTTCTGAAGCACTTCACCAATGTTCATCACTGGTCTTCCTACAGTGATATGACTTTGCTTTGTAGATTGATGTCTCTGAATTTGTTTCTTGGTAACAAATGTGTAAAAAGTAAGACTTTGTAATTGGCAGATATGATTTTTAAAATGTTATTACTCTGTAAAGTAATGATACTCACTGCTATAGAACCTCAGCGGAATGAGCACATGTATTCAGGCTCTCTGGTTCATCACTTTTTCCTTATGTTGTGTTTTTAGCAAGGAACTTTCCAGCAATTCTAACGTGAAAAATGCCCCCACCTCTACTCTGTCCCTTCCACTGACCCCAACCATTAACCTCACTGCCAGGTACTGCCTATGTCCATAGATATCTCATGGTCTGGGGAAAAACACCTATACAGTAAGTCCTCTATATACAAACTTTCAAGTAGCAAACTTAAAGATGTGAATGTGCAATCACATGTCCAATCACATAAGTTCGTTTATCAGTCTGGCATACATTGTCATGTGCATACAACCTCTACAAGTGGTTGTGCTTTCTTTATTTTTGTGTGTTTTGTTGTTGTTGTTTTTGAATTGGAGTCCCACTCTGTCGCCCAGGCTGGAGTGCAATGGCACACTCACGGCCAAGCCCAGTGTCGAACTGCTGGACTCAGGTGATCCTTCCACCTCAGCCTTCCAAGTAGCCAGAACTACAGGCCCACACTACCACGCCTGGCTAATTTTTGATTTATTGTAGAGACGAGGACTTGCCAAGTTGCCCGGGCTGGTCTTGAACCTCAGGCAATCTACTCGCCTCAGCCTCCCAAAGTGCTGGGATTACAGGCTGAGCTCAGTGGCTCAGCCTGTGTTTGTTTTTTAATGTATTATTTGTGTGAAAATTTTCCTAAACCTATTACAATATAGTACTATATGGCCGATTATGTTAGTTGGATACCTAGGCTAACTTTGTTGGACTTATGAACAAATTGGGTTTATAAACACACTTGCAGAATGGAACTCGTTCGTATGTAGGGGAATTACTGTATAGAAACAAGAAAGTGCAGTGAGCTGTGGCAAGGAGGGCTGGGAAAACAGTGGGAGAAGCAGCATCCTAACTCCAGGGCCCTGGCATGACAGCAGCAGGGCAGGTGCATAGGTCAGTACAGAATTATCCAAATCTTATGAATGAGAACTTAGAGGACCAGGGAGGTTCAGCGATTCTTTCAGGCTCTTGGGGTTGAGAGCTGGGGAGGATGAACTTCACTCCGGGCCTGCCTGACTGCAGGGCTTCCACTTGTACCTGCGGGGGGATGGGAACTTTTCCAGGTATAGAATGGAGTCATCCATGAGGTGTTGTAACAAACAGAACTTTCATGTGTCCTGGGCCCCTCACCTAGGCAGGGGCCAGAGCAGTCTTCCTATGGCCCATGTGAGAAACAGGCTCCTGGCTGGCTGGTGAGGCACGCAAACCTTGTGGTCATGTATGGAAGCCCACTGTGCCTCTGGGAGAAGCAAGGGGAAGTGACCAACATGAGGGTTGAGGGTGAAGCCTGCAACTTTTTTTTTTTTTGAGTTGGAGACTCACTCTGTTGCCCAGGCCAGAGTGCAGTGACACGCTCATGGCCACCCCAGCATCAACCTTCTGGGCTCCAGCACTCTTTCACCTCAACCTTCCAAATAGCTAGAACTACAGATGTGCTCTACTGCACCCGGCTTTTATTGTAGAGACAAGGTCTCGCCAAGTTGCCTGGGCTGGTCTTGAACTCGTGGGCTTAGGCAATCCACTCACCTCAGTCTCCCAAAGTGCTGTGGTTACAGCTGAACCACCAAGCCCGGCTAAGCCTCCACCTTCTTAAGAGAGGAGAACTCAGGCTGGGCATGGCAGCTCACACCTGTAATCCCAGCACTTTGGGAGGCCGAGGCAAGAGGATTGCTTGAGGCCAGGAATTCAAGACCAGACTAAGCAACATAGTGAGACCTCGTCTGTACCAAAAAAAAATTATACAAAAATTAGCCAAGCGTGATGACATGAACCTGTAGTCCCAGCTACTCAGGAGACAGGCAGAAGAATTGCCTGAACTCAGGAGGTTAAGTCTGTGGTGAGCCATGATCATACCACTGTACTCCAGCCCAGGTAATAGAGTAAGACCTTGATGAGAGAAAGAGGGGGAGGGGAGAGGAGATGGTGGGGGAAAGGAGAACTCATGCCTCTGGGAGGGAAGGGCGTGCACAGTGTGACAAGACAGATTTCTGGAGTTTTGTTTGAAACCCGGCTTCACAGTTTCTTGGGGTTTGTCTTTGGGCAAGGCACTTAATCTTTGAGGTTCAGCTTTTAATAAACAATATGGAGACTGATCCATCAATGACCTCTGAGCACAGCAGAATAATACATGCTAACATGTAGTGAACACTTGCTGTGTGCCACACACTGTTGCAAGAACTTCACATGTATTAAGTCTTAGGTAGCCTTCCCAGGGAGGCTCTTTTATTATCCCTATTGTATAGATAAAGGTAGCTTTTCCAAGTGCGCACAGCTAGTTAATCGGGGAATGGGGATTTGAACCCCAGTAGTCTGATTCTAAAGTCTGTCCTTATCATCATGCAGCAATGATTGGCCAAAGGTAGAATAAGGGAATATGTGTCTAGGAAGTCATAGGTTTAAGAATTAAAGACTTAGAATTAAGCCATAGTTTAAGAACTTATGGAGAGTGCAATTTTTTTAAAGTTATACTTCCTAAAAGAGATCACAAGATAGAAATTTTTTTAAAAACTGTAAGGTAGGTAACTGTAAATTTGAAACCTCAGGTTTCACAAAGTGCTCCTATATTTTGTTTTGTTTTGTTTGTCCGTGGAAACAATTTCAATGTTTGGTTATACTGTCTTGCTTGGAGATGTGGCAGTGAGGTTGGTTGTTATGTCTTCAACTGGGAAGGATTCAAATATATACTCCAAAACCATTCTAACCCAAGTTTCACTCCCAAATCCCATAATATTTCAGAAAAGCATTTTTGAAGCATAATTCTGATATGTTGCAGGTGAATTAATTTGTAATTAAATAGTGAGTAATTCAGCTTTTCTTTTGATGAGTATTCAGGAGCAGACCAGGAAACACACTTATCTGGAAAGTGTCCTGGGCCATCGATTCTATAACTCTGTTGTAAGCCATATATTCATCCCAAAATATGATACAGGTCTTTAAACTCATCCTGGAGATTTTTAAGGATGTCAATAGTTTTTTTGGTGAAACGATCCCTCTAGCACATGGGCACGTATTTGTTTTATATTGTAACTCTAGTTTATCTGCTGTTAAAACCAGCAGAGGGTGATAAATGCCAATATAAAAATTATTCAGAGGACACTGGAATTAAGAAGGACAGTTACAGTAAAGGACACAAATCTAGTTGATAAGTAGAGATATTTACTCATATAGTGCTATCCTCCTGTAAAGAATTTTCTTTTTACCGCAGTGAACACTTCCTACATTAACTTTCTTTTTCTTATGAAGTGTCTGGGCATTTGTCTTGCATTATCTCATGGCAAGCATGTTTTTAAATATTACAATCTACACCTGTTATCAAACTATGGCAATAATAGTGCTCTGTGACTTTTGTGAAGGAGACCTCCGCAAATGGACTGTTCACTCACTTTACCCTCAAGAGTGTGAATTTTATTTCTTCTGCCTTATAGCTCCCAGAATGAAGACGCTTCCTTCCATTTTGACGGAAGCGGGTACTCTGCCGTGGAGAAGACGCTTCGGGCCACCGTGACTCAGATAGTAATGGTCTTCAGTACCTTTTCACCCAATGGGCTCCTCCTCTACCTGGCTTCAAATGGCATGGTAAGAGTCTTTAGGGGGCACTGGCCCCTACTGTGGACACACGTTTAGATGACTATGAGGCTATTTATGTTTAACGAGGATTAACTAATTAAATACATACATATGCATGCCATACAATTGTTTTTAAGCATATGCTAATATAACATATATACGTATTCCATATAATTTCCCCATTTTAAATCATTTATTTATTATATTAATACAAATTCATTGTAATGGAACTGCTTAAGGAAGAACACACTTTGCAAGTCAGGGCGTTTTCTTGTTTATTTTACTTTATTTTAGATTCAGAGGGAACATGTACAGGTTTGTTGTGTGGCTATCTCATGTAATGATGAGATTTGGGCCTCTAGTGAACCCATCACCCAAATAGTGAACGTTGTACTCAGGTAGTTTTTCAACCTTCAACCCTCTGCCACCCTCCTCCCTCTTGAAGTCCCCAGTGTCTAGTATTTCCATCTTTGGATCCATGTGTACCCGTTGTTTAGTTCCCACTTAGAAGTGAGATTATGTGGTATTTGATTTTCTGTTTCTGAGTTATTTCGCTTAGGATAATGGCCTTCAGCTCCTAAAGTTTATAACACATTATTGCAACATGCTTCTGTTCTGTTGGCATTTGTCCTTACTATGCCGTGTTTATGTATACACATTTAAAAAATAAATCTAAACATGTTTCTATTTTAAAAAATACAAATTCATTGCAGAAACTTTGGAAAATACAGAAGAGTACCAGCTAGAAACCAGCCTTCCAGTCACTATAGATATCAATTAAACACATGTTATTAAATTTGGAGCTCAAGTAGTATGTCTTGTTTATGTTCTCAAATAATATGTCTTGGTCCATGTTCTCTGTGACCCCAGTGACCTTATTTGAATTCCATCCACAGAAATTTCATGTTCTCACTTTCATCTCATGTGCTGATGATTTCTGTTTCTCAGTCTTCTAATTTTATTATTTAGGAGTGGCCTATTTTTCAGTATAAGTGAAAAAGGTACGAACCACTTCTCTTACTGAATTGTAGATTTTCATAACAATGCGTAGTGTTTCATTTATATGTGTGTGGTGTTCTAGAAAGCCTTTATGGAGATTTTAATTTTCATAGCACAGATCTCTGGCTGTGAGGTTAGATCTAGCTTTCTCCGTTTTGACTTTAGAAGGCTTCTGCCGTCCCTGACTTAAAGGAAAAGAAAAAGTTGGAATAAAGACCTAGTCATGGGGAAATGTGTTCTCTTCTTTACAGAAAGACTTTTTATCCATCGAGCTGGTCCATGGCAGAGTGAGAGTTATGGTTGACCTGGGTTCAGGACCCCTTGCTCTTATTACAGACAGACGGTATAACAATGGAACCTGGTACAAAATCGTCTTCCAACGCAACCGGAAGCAAGGTAGACACACAGGTGGACTCACCTGATGTTAGTCACTCTCATAAGAGACAGAAATTTTTTTAACATCAGCAGTCTTTATTCTTTAGTTTCCTGGATATTCTTGAGTGATATCTTAATTGAAAGTAATGTTGTCCTTGGAATACTAAGAAGCAAAATTCACATTTTCCTGGAGAAATATTGCACTTCTGTTTGTCTGTGGCTTCCAAGTGCGTTATGTAACATTACATGCTGAATTGGAACAAGAATCAAATCCATTCTATTTTCTTCCAGACACACACTGCTGTCATTTAGGCATGTGTATTCTGGATTTATGAACTTTCATAGGGAGGATTTTTCATTTGTCTTTTAAAGCCAAGAACATTAGCTGATCAAATTTGCAGAATGTAAAAGACTATGTCTTTGTAAACGAACTTGGTTGACAGAAGTTTGCATTTTACTTTTTAAGATAAAAAAGTTGGAGTCCAAAGTTTTTAAGTTGGAGTCTCACTCTGTCGCCCAGGCTGGAGTGCAATGGCACGCTCATGGCCACTGCAGCCTCGACCTGCTGGGCTCAGGCGATCCTTCCACTTCAGCCTTCCAAGTAGCTGGAACCACAGACCCATACCACCACACTCAGTAATTCTTTTTTAATTTACTGAAGAGACAAGGTCTCGCTAAGTTGCCCTGGCTGGTCTCGAACCCATGGACTCAGGCAGTCTTCCTGCCTCCGCCTGCCAAAGTGCTGGGATTACAGGCGTGTGTTTTACTGTAATGTAGAAAGTGATTTTCATTTTCTTATCTCTCCCGTGTGACCTTCAGGACTCCTGGCAGTTATTGATGCACATAACACCAGTGATAAAGAAACCAAGCAGGGTGAAACTCCAGGAGTATCTTCCGACCTCAATCGTCTTGATAAGGATCTGATTTATGTGGGTGGATTACCTAGGTCAGCAGTTGTAAGGTACGACATTAAACTGTGGAATTTCCATGTACCTAATTTCCAATCATACTCATTTGCTAGGGCTGCCATAACAAAAATACCACAAACTGGGTGGCTTAAACAACAGAAATTCATTCTCACTCAGTTCTGGAGGTTACAAGTCTGAAATCAAGGTGTTGGCGGGCTTGCTCCTTTTTAAAAAAAAATTTTCTATTTTGAAGATGTGGGGTACAATTCAGGGATACCACAATTCAGGGATACCACCTAACTCCAGTCAGGATGGACATCATCAGTAACTCAAAGGGCCAGGCGTGGTGGAACAAGCCTGTAATCCCAGCACTTTGGGAAGTGGAGGTGAGAGGAGTTTCCTGAGCCCAGGGGTTTGAGACCAGCCTGGGCAATTTGGTGAGTCCTCGTCGTCTCTACAGTAAAAATTGGCCAGGCGCAGTGACTCAAGCCTATAATCCCAGCACTTTGGGAGGCCGAGGTGAGAGAATTGCCTGAGTCCACGAGTTCGAGACCAGCCTGGGCAACTTGGGGAGACCTCATCGCTGCAATGAATCAAAAAATTAGCCGGGCTCGGTGGCTCAGCCTGTAATCCCGTGCCTTTGGGAGGCTGAGGTGAGTGGATTGCCTGAGCCCGCAGGTTCAAGACCCGCCTGGGCAGTGAGACCTCATCTCCACAATAAAATAAAAAAATCAGCTGGATGTGGTAGCGCATGCCTGTAATTCCGACTACTCGGAAGACTGAGGCGGAAGGATCGCTGGAGCCCAGCAGGCGAGGCTGCAGTGGCCGGGAGCGACCACTGCACTCCAGTCTAGGTGACCGAGTGAGACTCCAACTCAAAAAAAAAAAAATTAGCCAGGCATGGTGGCATGCGCCTGTAGTTCCAGCTCTTGGAAGGCTGAAGCGGAAGGTTAGCCTGAGCCCAGCAGGTCGAGGCTGCGGTGGCCATGAGCGTGCCACTGCACTCCAGCCTGTGTCATAGAGTGAGACTCTGACTCAAAAAATAAAATAAAATAACTCAAAAAACAACAGATGCTGGGGAGGATGCAGGGGTTGCTTTCTTTTAACATCTGTCAGAGAGCACCAGTTGCATGCCTGTGGCCTCCGGTAGCTACAGGCAATGCTTGGCTTGTAGGCCAGTGTTCTCACTGGGTCTTCTCATCATCTTATCTCTGTGCCTGTGTCACTCTGTGTCCACTTTTCCCCTTTCGATAAAGACACCAGTCATATTGGATTAGGACCTCATCTTGATTTGATTGCCCCCCAAAAAACCCTTTTTCCAAATAAGGTCACATTCACATATACAGGGGGATCAACTGCAACACCTTTTAGGAGGCACAATTCAACCCATAACATCTGTTTTTATTCCCAGTACTCCATGCCATATTAATTGGGAAATAAAGCAAGCCTTCTGCAGGAACACTAATGATTTTATACCATTGACTTCAACACTTCTAAATTTGTTGCTGTGCAATATTTGGAGACTCCACTTGCCATCACACTTCATTCTCCTCTCTAGACATTTTACAGCACTAAAATCTCTTTAAAGGCAAAAAAAAAGAAAAGAATTATGCTTTCTGCAAACTTATCAGGATTCCCTTTTTATGTAATGAGAGTGAACAATGTATGCAAGAGTTGAAAGACCAGCGCCAGGAAGTGGAATGAAAGATGGCAGGAGACAGGCTCAGTGGTTCAGCCTGTCATTCCAGCACTTTGGGAGGCTGAGGCGAGTGGATTGCCTGAGCCCGCGGGTTCGAGACCAACCCCGGCACCTTGGCAAGACCTTGTCTCTACAATAAAATCAAAAAATTAACCGGGCGTGGTAGTGTGTGCCTGTAGTTCTGGCTACTTGGAAGACTGAGTCGGAAGGATTGCCGGGGCCCAGCAAGTCGACTCTGGGGTGGCCGTGAGCATGTCACTGCACTCTAGCCTGGACAACAGAGTGAGACTCCAACTTACAAAAAAAAAAAAAAGAAAGAAAGATGGCAAGAGAAAGGCATGGAACCCTTTTGTGACACCAATTCATGTTTAGCTTTGTGACTTTAGTTATTTATATAAACTTTTTGTGGCTCGTTGTCCTCAGTTTTGTAATTTGGGGTTGGACAGATTAAGTTCTAAGATTCTTTCACACCATTAAAGAAGTTTTGTTGGTTTTTTTTAAACATTTTGGAACCGGGCTCAGTGGCTCCGCCTGTAATCCCACACCTTTGGGAGGCTGAGGTGAGTGGATTGCCTGAGCCCGCAGGTTCGAGACCCGCCTGGGCAGTGAGATCTTATCACTACAATAAATCAAAAAATCAGCCGGGCGTGGTAGCGCATGCCTGTAATTCCGGCTACTTGGAAGACTGAGGCGGACGGATCGCCGGAGCCCAGCAGGTCGAGGTTGCGGTGGCCGGGAGCGGCCACTGCACTCCAGTCTGGGTGGCAGAGTGAGACTCCAACTCAAAACATTTTGGGAAGTCAAGGCAGAAGAATTGCTTGAGACCAGCCTGGTCAAGACACTGAGATCCTGTCTCTACAAAAAATTTTTAAAATTTGTAAAATGTGGTAGCGTGTGCCTCTAAATTTAGCTACTCAGGAAAGAAGGTGGGAGAATCACTTAAGCCCAGGAGTTCGTTACAGTGAGCTATGATGATGCCACTGTACTTCAGCCTGGGCGACAGAGCAAGACTCTGTCTAAAAAAAACCCAAAAAACTCACTTATGAAAGTTCAGCAGTCAAGGAAAAACTGCTTCCAGAAAGTGAGGTCACTAAAATGTCCAACCTAGGTTACCCAGTCTAGTGGTTTTCACAAGTACTTTGTAGCAGGAACCTGTCTATAGGCCAGGTTCTTTTACAGAATCCTCCTATGTGGCACAGAGGTGCAGCCATTCAGTTGGTGCAGGTGAACAGTCTGGGATCCAATACCCCACTATCCCCTTTCCCTTTCCAGGAATCTCTGGAAATCTTAAGGAATATAATTTGCACACACAACTGCCTCCTGGTCTTAGAAATGAATACATTTAATCTCAAGGGAGTCGGTCACTTGCCAATTGGCAATGACTGAGATTGATTTGTGGGCTCCGCTGATTTTTTTATTATTATTCTTATTTGAGCTGAAATGTATATAATATAGAATTAACCATTTCAAAGTGAACAATTCAGGTGCATTTGGTGCATTCATAGTATTGCAAGGCCACCTCCTCTGTCTAGTTCCAAGTATTTTCGTCACCTGAAATAAAAGCCTGTGTCCATTAAACAGTCACTCCTCACTCTCTTTCCCCACCTTTGGTCACCACCAATCTCTATGCCTCTATGAATGGATTTACCTATTATGGATATTTTGTATAAATGGAGTCTTACCTCCCCACCAAGACAGAGCCAGAATGGAAGCCTGTCCCCATATCCCATCTCAGATATCATCTCTGCCATAGGGGACCAGGATCCGGTGCTCCTGTAGCCACAGCCTGTCATAGTGCCTCTGGATTGCCCAAATGGCACACAGAATAGACACTGAAGAAAAAACAGAAGCCCAGATCACAGATTTCCATGGTAGAAGGGACCTGGATGTCATCAAGGCCAGCCTCTTTTCTCATTTACATTGGAGAAACTGAGATCCAGAAAGGCTGAAATTTGTCCCAAATGATGTAGTTGTTTAATGATTCACAGTTCATGGTTCAACATGGAGGGGGAAAAAAATGAGGTATGACGATAACAGGAAGCCATATTATTGCCAGATTCTCCTGTGACTAGCGATGCATAAGAGTACAGATCAAAGATACTCAGTAGTCTCTATATTTTGGAAATGAGAGTCTGACCCCAGCCAGGCGTGTAGCAACTTCTGGTAAGAAAAATATGTTACTGATTTGGAGACTGTGAAATAAGGTTTTGGATAATCCCAGACTGCACCAAATACAATTATTTTCTTTAGGACAAAGTTCATGAATATGCAATATGACAACAGCCAATGACTTCTCTAGCTGTCCAACCCTAGGAAATAGCATTATCTACACTTGTCCCCATGACAGACAAATGATCTACTCTATACAGAGACTGGATTATAATCTATGTGCTCTAATCTCCTAATGACAGTGCACTGCCTTTCTTATAATTGGCCTGTATTTTTTTTTTTTTTTGAGTCGGAATCTCACTCTGTAACCCAGACTGGAGTACAGTGGCTGCTCCCGGCCACTGCAGCCTCGACCTGCTGGGCTCCAGCGATCCTTCTGCCTCAGCCTTCTGAGTAGCCGGAATTACAGGCATTCGCTATCACGCCCGGCTGATTTTTTTTTTTTTTGAGTCGGAGTCTCACTCTGTCACCCAGACTGGAGTGCAGTGGCCGCTCCTGGCCACCGCAGTCTTGACCTGCTGGGCTCTGGCAATCCTTCCACCTCAACCTTCCAAGTAGCTGGAACTACAGGTGCACGCTACCACACCCGGCTAATTTTTGATTTATTGTAGAGATGAGGTCTCGCCAAGTTGCGCAAGTGGGTCTCGAACCCGCGGGCTCGGGCAATCCACTCACCTCAGCCTCCCAAAGTGCTGGGATTACAGGCTGAGCCACCGAATCTGGTTTATAATTGACCTGTATTTTAATGAGTATATTTAAATTGTAATGACCTTAAGAGTTTCCTTAAAATATTAAACATATTGTTACGTAGGTAGACATCTAACTAGCCTAATTCACTGAGTTTGATCCCTTTCTGTAGTCAAAGGAGAGGATTTGCTTGACCTGAAGTTCTCACCATCAGTATTGTTATCTGAGGGAGTCTAACTGTTTCTGCCGAGTGGCACATGCAAACAGGTTTTTCATAATTATAGGTCCATTTTTATTCCTTCTTTCAAAAATTGAATTATGAAACTCAAATTTTATTGTGGTTATTTCTCACATCCTTTCCACAGGAAAGGTGTCACCAGCAAAAACTATGTGGGTTGCATCAAGAACCTGGAAATATCCAGATCAACCTTTGATTTACTCAGAAATTCCTATGGAGTGAAGAAAGGCTGTATACTGGAGGTGGGAAACATTTTTATTGATATTGGAGTAAGTTTCTATAAATGCCTACTGATCTGTCAACATAATAACATAACAAAATCTAAACCAGTGGGGTGGATACAAAAGAGATGATGGGGAACCAGCTGTACCCCCCACTGTGGGGAAGTCAGCCTGCAGCTGGGGACTTACTGTGCTGTTTCTTCTCCTCTGTGACCAGCCCATCCGAAGCGTCAGCTTCTTGAAAGGTGGCTACGTTGAATTGCCACCCAAGTCTTTGTCTCCAGAATCCAAATTGCTGGCAACATTTGTCACCAAGAACAGCAGCGGCATCATCCTGGCTGCCCTCGACAGGGATGCGGAGAAGCAGGGTCGTGGACAGGCACATGTGGTGAGTGGTATCCTTGCTACTGAGCTGTGGTCTCAGGAGATGGCTTCAGGAAACACTGAATGAAAAGTTACAGACTCATAAACACTTGTTGTAGCTGTGTCCTGGTTATTCATGCATATGCATTTTTAATAAGTAGAAGTTATTATAGCCAAATTGCCTTTCCCTTCTGAATCAGTGACTTCTTGTGTTGCAAATCTACCTGCCTGTCTAGCAACTGAGATTTAAAAAAAAAAGGTATTTGCTGTATACCTCTACTGTTTAAAAAAACTCACATCGATAACATAATGAGTTTTCGTCCACGTGGCATGATTGTTACTCTTCATTCTGAGGCTAAAACAGCAGTCCTTAAATTCTGTTCAGGTCTTTGGGAGACTGTTCAGTGAACCAGGGTTTTCTCCATCTGGTATAGGATTGAAAGAAGCAGCAAGAGAAATGTGGCTGTGATAAGCACAGTCGACTAGCAGTAGGAGAGAAAAGATGACAGTTTTCCGTATTTATATTCCATTTCAAAAGCATAGGTGATATTTCCCTCATCCTCTGCTCAAGCTGGCATATGTCACCTAGTTTGAAGAGACTTTACAGAATGCTAATGTGTTATCTTAATGAAGCACGGTTCATCCAACTGCAATTTCTAGAGTGTTGTCCTTGACTTTGCAAGATACTTTACAGACATCACTGTGTAATTATCACAACTGTGCTGCAAAGCCGATGCTGCTTCCTACATTTTGCTGAGTAAGAAAAGGATTCAGAGATCCTGGTTAACCTGCCCAAGATCACACAGCTGTTGTGAGAGCCAGTCCTGGAACACTGGTTTGCAGACTCCAAACATATCACAAGCCACCTGGGGAAGGGCTGACAATGAGTGAGATTGGTTTGTGAGCTCCACTGATCTTTTTTCTTCTTCTTCTTCTTTTTGTGGGGGGCCTGAAATTTATATAATGTAAAACCAACCATTTCAAAGTGAAAAATTCAGAAGCATTTGATGCATTCGCAATGTTGCAAGACCATTTCCTCTATATAGTTCCACATATTTTAATAACCTAAAATAAAAGCCTGTGCCCATTAAGTAGTCACTCCCTAGTCTCCTCTTTCCCTACCCCTGATAACCACCAATCTCCCTGTCTCTATGAATGGATGTACCTATCCTGGATACTTCACATAAATAGAATCCTAAAAGATGTAATCTCTTATATCTTTCGCTTAGTATGTTTTTGAGGTTCATCCACACTGTAGCATATATTCGTACTTCATGCCTTTTGATGGCAGAATGATGTTCCACTCTATGTGCAGACCACACTTTGTGGACATGACATTAGAGTATTTCTGCCTTTTGGCTCTTGTGAATAATGCGGCTATGAACATATGTGTATAAGTATCTGTTTGAGTCTCTGGTTTCACTCCTTTTGGGTATATATCTAGGAGTGGAGTCTCTGGTCATATGGTAATGCTATGTTTAGCGTTTTGAGGAGCTGCCAAACTGTTTTTCTCCACCAATCTTAATAGAGTTACTTACAAATCAAAGTTTGCCTGTTAAGCCAGCAAAAAGAAATGATATGAAGGTTATTGTGAAACGCTAGCATTCCAAACCTACTGGTAGCATTATACATTGTTATACCTCTTTTCAATGAGGCAAAACACATTAAGAGCTTTATACAACCGTTTAATTTCACCTTCTGTTTTTTTGGTATGTGTGTGTGTTGGAGTCTCACTCTGTCGCCCAGGCTGGAGTGCAGTGGCAAGCTCATGGTCACCCCAGCGTTGACCTGCTGGGCTCCAATGATCCTTCCACCTCAGCCTTCCAAGTAACTGGAACTGCAGGCACGCACCACCAAGCCTGGCTAATTTTTTTTATTTATTGTAGAGATGAGGTCTCACCAAGTTGCCCAGGCTGGTCTCGAACCCATGGGCTCAGGCAGTCCTCTCACCTCAGCCTCCCAGAGTGCTGGGATTATAGGCGTGAGCTTCTGTGCCCGGCCAAAAAGAGCATTTTTGGAGATTACACAGAACAGATTCCCAGTCGGAGCTGCTTGAAGAGAAGATGTGAGACAAAGAGTTAGAGACAGTGAATACAATTCTTAGGTATATCCTTAATCTAGTGGTAGTTTTTGAAAATGACCACATTAATCATATATATCTTATAAAGAAGCGGCTTAATTTCAGGGAAAAAAGTGATACTAGGACTAAGAAGGTATAGTATTTTCTTTTTTCTTCTTTTTTTTTTTGAGTTGGAGTTTCACTCCACCCCCAAGGCTGGAGTGCATTGACACGCTCATGGCCACCCCAGCATCGACTTGCTAGGCTCCGGCAATCCTTCCGACTCAGCCTTCCAAGTAGCCGGAACTACAGGTGCTCGCTACCATGCCCAGCTAATTTTTGATGTATTGTAGAGATGAGGTCTCACCAAATTGCCTGGGCTGGTCTCGAACCCACAGACTCAGGCAATCCACTCGCCTCGGACTCCCAAAGTGCTGGGATCACAGGGTGAGCTAATGAACCCGGCCTAATTCCTTTCAGAGACGTTGAAAACAATATCACAGACAAAACAATTAAATACCCATATGTAGATATTACTTAAATTATATTGATAAAAAGACAAATTTATACACACACACACGCACACACACACACACACCTGATGGTGCACATTGTAGCAATAAATAATAAATATGAGGGAATGTCGAAATGAAAATCTCTGATATATTTAGTGATAATAGCATAATGCAGAATGTAAATTATTTGAATGGAAATGAGAAAGTGATATATAAAACTTCAAACAGTTGTATTGGATGATGAGATTTTTAAGGAATTACTAATTCGATGTGAATATTTGAATATTCCCACATTATTGTTATAAGATAGGTGTTTTCTAAATCAAATAGTAATGTGTTTTGCCTGGAAAACTCTGCACCTTCTCTGCAGCCCTTCTATTCTGTCATGCTGATTGAGGGCCACATTGAGGTGCATGTCAGCCCTGGGGATGGGACAAGCCTGAGGAAAGCCCTCCTGCATTCTCCTACGGGCACGTACAGCGATGGACAAGTGCATTCCATCTCCTTGGTCAGGAATCAGAGGTACCGTATGTGTGACAAGGCCTTGTGTAATGACAGTGTGGTCACTTTAAAAGTTTCCAGTAGGAACCTTGTGATGGTACCCTGTACAGTGAAATAAGTGGGAGCATTTGTAGGATATCACTTGTATTCAAAGGAATTCGAGAACTTTGCTAGAATACCTCCTTGGGAATCAGTTTCACCTGCCTTATAGTAAGATGTGAGTTTTTATAACTGAACAGCCTTAATCCTGTCCTTTACTGGGACCCAAAATAAATCCCCTTTCTATTTGATGAATTCTGTGGCAAATAGTATTATGGTATTAGCAAATAGAATTATATCTGTAGTAAATGGCATTATATCAACATTCCTGTATATTTCCCTCCAAAACTATAGACCAAATGTTTTAAAAGCACACTGGGCATTTTCATCACAGGTAAAGAGGTCAAAGAAAAATACTCTCCATAAAGCTATTGAATTCAATATTTAATAACACTCCATTCATTCCTGAAGAATGTTTATTTAATTTTAAGCTTCAACTTCCAAGATTCAACTTTTTGTTCACATACAATATCGTGTTAAAATTTATCTTCAGGGAACTTTTATTATTGAGTGAGAACTTGCTGGAATTATGTATTAAAATGGAGTTATTGTTTCGTTATATTTGAAGCCTCTGTTCATTTTCTCCTTGCTTTTTTAGAACTGTCACTGTTCAACTAGATGAGACCAATCCTGTAGAAATGAAGTTGGGCCCATTGGCAGAAAGCAGGACACTAAGTGTGTCCAACCTGTACATAGGGGGAATTCCAGAGGGAGTGGGGACATCAGTGTTCAAAATGAGAAGCTCGTTCCATGGCTGTATCAGAAGCCTGATCTTCGACCTGGAGTAAGTGTGACCATGCTCTTCCTATGTTTTTGTACTTTCTGACCTTTGAGGACCCGTATCCTTAATCTGCAACCTAAATTTGCTGTTTGAGATTGCCTAAAATTTTGCAAGTTCCTGAATAAAAAGTGCATTCCACTGTTCGATTCATGGACATCCCCCCAAGTGGACTTTATTCGATTAGAATGATGCGGAGATCTGGTCATCATAGTTTAAAAATTATCGTTGAACATTAGCTCCACGTGATTGTCCATAAATAGCTGGGACAAAAATATATTTTTGTATGCATTTTGCCTTTAAAAGTAGGTAGAGATTTTATGAGGCAAGTTTTTTGCTGTCTTGAGTACACTGCTTTGAAGAGCCTTTTGCTCTGGGCTACTGACAGCTTCGGGTGATTAATGCTTTCCCCCAAACTAATTACTGTCTAATTAAGTACTAGAAGCCTTTATTCCCGGAGTGGACCTCATGAAGAGGAAAAAAATTAGCATGTGCGCATGGGTGATTCATTCTCCCTTGCTTGCCCTCTGCCTCTGGTCAGCGTGCTGATGGGACTCATGCTGTCCTCTGCCCCACAGGACCAGCATCTGCCCAGGAAAAACTGATGTGCGCTGGGCACCTGGAGACAGGCTCCCTCCTGGATGAGCTGCTGACTTGCCTAGTGAACTTGAGCCAGGTCTTGGATCTTTTATGGTCACAGTGTCCTCCTCTGTGAAATTACCTCTTAGGAGTCCTTGAAATTTGCAAGGATAAAATGCTGCATTGCATTTTAACACAATTATCATGCCAGAGCCTTGGTTTAGCTATTTGTAGTCATATAGTATATTCAGTCACCCAGTTGTCTGTCCATTCATTCACTCGTGATGAGCCATCTTCGTGCTCCTGAAAGCTGTGGGGCTGTGGACTCGGTAGGGCAGAAATGTTTCTGTGCTGTTTGCAGCTGTGCAACATATCAGTGAGACCTGTGTGGGCACAAGACGTGATACAGGAGGTACAGAGTGAAGGCATGTGACAATTGTAGCTCACGACCTCCTGGAGGCGGGGGACCACTAAACAAGAAATCAGTGTTTAGTTGAGGCTGTTGTGCAATGCTGGGAACCAGAGAGAATATGTTCCTGAGGCAGCCCTGTCAAGGCTGCAGGAGGAGGTAATGGCATCAGAGCCAACTCCCAGGAGTGTTCAGGAATGGCCAGGTGCTAACATGGGCATCAAATAAGAATATAAGACCGTGTATTTGGACTCTGAGTCACAGTACAGGATGGTCACTTTGGTTACTCTAAGAGACACATATTCCTGGTTTAATGGATTTTAATAGCATAGCAGTCAAATGACATGAGTCATGCACTGGTTTGTGATGTCTGATTTTTTAAAACATCTTCTTGTTTTTGTCTAGACTCTTGGATTTCACCAGTGCAGTTGGCTATGGACAAGTGGACTTGGACACCTGCTGGCTTTCAGAAAGGCCTAAGCTGGCTCTTAATGGAGAGGACGGCAAGCTCTGGACAGAGCCCCAGCCTTTACCAGTAAGAGTGGTTTTCTTTAATGATGTCAGTCAGGTCCGGTCAGCAAACGAGAGCATAGGACTCATTATTAAGGTGTTGGGAAAACTGGAACTGGGGCCGTGATAAAAGTCAGAACAGGGCCAGAGAAGGTTCTCTGAAAAAACTGGCAGATGACGTGGCCCAGCATTTACACATTGCAGGCACCCTCAATGGGCTGACATACAACCAGTTTTTTGTTTTTTTTGTTTTTTGGTTTTTTTGAGTTGGAGTCTCACTCTGTCGCCCAGGCTGGAGTGCAGTGGCATGCTCACACCCACCGCAGCCTCCACCTGCTGTGTTCAGGTGATCCTTCTACTTCAGCCTTCCAAGTAGCTGGAACTACAGGCACATGCTACCACATCCGGGCTAATTTTTTGTTTAATGTAGAGACGAGGTCTTGCCAAGTTGCCCAGGCTGGTCTCAAACCCGTGGGCTCAGGTGAAACTCTCGCCACAGCCAGATTTTTGACAGAGTTTCTACAGGAATCATTATCATTTTGGATTTCATGTGGCAAACATGAAAGTAAGTACTTAAGGTAAAGCCATTGTGTACATCATTGTTGCTTAAACATTTTTTAAAAGATTTTATTCATTTAGGAAAAGCCAGTTGGAATCAAATTTTTTTTTTTTTTTTTTTTTTTTGAGTTGGAGTCTCACTGTCACCCAGACTGGAGTGCAGTGGCCGCTCCCGGTCACTGCAGCCTCAACCTGCTGGGCTCTGGCGATCCTTCCGCCTCAGCCTTCCAAGTAGCTGGAACTACAGGCACATGCTACCACGCCCGGCTAATTTTTTTGATTTATTGTAGAGATGAGGTCTCGCCAAGTTGCCCAGGTGGGTCTCGAACCCGCGGGCTCAGGCAATCCACTTACCTCAGCCTCCCAAGGCGTGGGATTACAGGCTGAGCCACCGAGCCCGGCTGAAATCAAATATTTTTAAGGGCAGTCATTGTTATTTTTATTTTCTCCCCTTCTGGTTTCTATTTCCTTGGCAGAAAGCATTCACTCTAATAATTTAGAGAATGACACAATCATACAGAAGCAATACCTTCTAAGCAGGGCTAATACTGAGCTCTGGACAATTTTCACAGTAGTGTCTGCCCACCCCAAGCTGGAAAACAGTCTGGAACCTCACTGACTTAGACACAGTTGGGACAACCTCCAGATGCCCCACGGCTTTCTTTCGGCTCCCCGCTCCTTCCCTCTTGTCTGCACCTTGCTCCTGTCGATGTGGACTTAGAGATATCAGGGCCCTGTGAGACCTGTCACCTGTGGGCACTTCCAGTTTTCCTGTCCCATCGCTGATCCTCATCGCCGCATCCTCAGGGTCCTTCCCAGAGCCTCGGGTCACGGCAGGGGTCAACTGGGAACCGCAAGGGCTTTGCCCCTTAGGCCTAATGAAAATCTGTGGGAGGGACTCCGTTGTCCGTATGAAGTTGAGTAAAGCTGAATGGGATTAAGGTGAAAAGCAGAAGCTCCAGTTGCCTTCTCGGAGAGATAAGAGGCTGGCAAGCACATCATTTAAACGGAAGGTGGGATGAGTGCAGATGGGTGTTTGCTGCTACTACTGTCTGTGATTACTTCTGAGATGTTTTCTTTGTGGTACAACGTGTGTGCGTGAGTGGGCTCTGGCTGCGAGTGGCTGGGTGTCCCTGTGTGTCTCTTTCAGAAACCATGTGCAGCGGACACAGCTCCAGAGTACGTTCCCGGCGCTCACCAGTTTGGCCTCACACAAAGCAGCCATTTCGTGTTGCCTTTTAATCAGACGGATGTCAGAAGGAAGTAGGTATTATTCTAAAGCCCTTACATGGCATGTCGTTGCTAGATGAATCCACGGGAGTATTCTTCAGCAATAGGGGCTTTTCCAAAAGAAACCTCTTTGTTTTATGATAGAGTGCTTGACTTGCGACCAGATGGCAGTCTTGAGAAGGGACAAAGAGACAGGAACCCACACTGTGCACATCATATGCCTTCCTCTGGTTCAGTGGGCTCCTGCGGTTTCTGCCTTGCCCCTCTCTGATGACGGCTGGTTGCCCCCTCTGTGTGTGTGGGCATCTTCTGTCTAAATCACTCTTTGTTCTGGAATTCCAAGTCCCTGGAAGGCTCATCGTCTGGACTTTCAACCCCTTTCTACTTGAAGCATTCATTAATCTGCTATTGTCTACCCAAACTCTTTCATGATGGGCTCCCAAATCCTGGGTGCCACCCCTAGCCGGGTCTGCACATCCGTCTGGCCTCACACCTGCCTGTCTCTGAGAAGCCTTCTGGGAAGTCAGCTTATCTTGCAGATTTTGAGGCCTGGAACCGGAGACTCCCAGACTCCACATCACTCCGTTCTCCTCCTTCAGGCCTCCAGCTGGTCTGCCGCACCAGCCTTCAGACTCTACCACGCTCTGCACCTCTGGCTGTTGGCTGTGACTGTCACCCATCACCCACCTCAGACCTAGGCTCACTGCCCTTTTCTGCATATCCTGCCATTGCTGTCCGTGAACTCAGCAGCCACCCAACACCTGACCTTTCAGTCCTCAGGCTCCTATCTGTGGAAGGTTTTCTCCTGCCTCCTGCTCGGCCAGCCTCTCCCATGGCCACGCCCTTGACTTCATAAGTGTCCGTCCTACTCCACAGTCTCAACTTTAAATCATCCTGTGAGCCAACCTCCTCGTCTCCTCTGCCCCTTCCCACTCCAGCAGTTCTTCAACTGCACTGAGGCCTCTAAGCTGCTCACCCTAACACCTTCTCAGTCATCTCCCCTCTTCCTCGGTCCCCACAACATGGTTCATCCCCTCCCAGAGAGGTTCCCTGGCCTCCTCGTTTCTCCTGCTACTCTGAACCATAAAACCCAGCACTTCTTTTCTCAATGCCAGAACCCACATGGCGACCAAGGCTGGGAAGACGCGTATCTCCCTCCTAAATGGTTTGACTTTAATGCCCCAGTCATCAATCTCAGACAGAACCTTCAAACCACAGGGGGAGCCAGTGTATGTCTCTAATTTGTTCATGGCTTTATTTTCCATAACAACTTACTCATAGCGTCTCCTCTCATCTCAAAGCTCTGTGTGCCACCACAACCTCTTTGCACTCTCGCTGATGACTTGCCTGAGAAGATAGCACTCCTTTTTCTGTCCACTACCAAAAAGATAGGC